GGGGGGGGGGGGACTCAAAGCAGTTTCCAACATATTTATGGCAAAATTTAATGCTTCACATACATATGAAACCTAACATAAAATAACAATAACATATAACTATCTATTAAATCATAAAAAGTAATATTTTAACATTAAAACGAGGAGTTAAAACATATTAATACAAATGTTAAAATCACATAATCGAGAAATCATGTTCCCTATGAAGTTCATAACACAATAGATGGAGTCCAAATGGATGCTCGAGACGAAAACTTAACAGTTAGCTTAATAGTGAAGAAAGATAGTCAGCGACAAGATCTGACTACAAATTGTTACCTGCAGGTCTGTGATAATGGAGTGTTGTACATCTTCTTTCTGCTCCTGCAGGAAGTGGTAACTAACAGCATTCAAAGTATAGGAGCGCAGTTTGTAATCCCGTAGCAGAACCTGTAGGGGAGAGAAAAGCCAAGAGGCAACGTGTTCTCATGGTCTTATTCAAAGTTTGTGTGTCTTTTCTATCTCAAAGCAAAGGCTGGGAAATTACTATTTTGGAATACAGTCCCCTGAATTCCACAGGAAGTATGGTCATGGTTGGGCACAACTGAAGCTATAGTTCTAGACAGAATTCCCCCCCCCCCCCCCCCCCCCCACACACACACACACACAATTGTGCCTCTCAGGTGTCCCTTTGCTACCTGCAACTGCAACACAGGATTACTAGTCTTTCTTACCTGAAGCAGATCAAACTGAGCTCTGCCTTCAGTGTTAATGACTTTATTCTCTCTCCGGCCCATCTGCTTGGACTGGAAGGAAGAGTCACGGATAACAGACTTGCGGGCAGGAATACGGCCCAGGAAAGGAAATGTCGAGACCTGGGAAGGCAGAAAAGTGAATTGGGAGGTATTTGACATAAGAGTGCAAGTAGTGCAGGGAAGGATACAGACAATCAGTTCAGTGATGAAACACATTTTGAGTGACAAAAAAGATATACCTATTCAAGGGTTTTTTTTTAAAAAAGTAATCTGAATTATTTCTAGTACAAAATTATTGCAAGGACTTCGGATCATCGAGGGAGAGAAGAAGAGGCAGGCATAGCTCCATTGTGCCTAAGCCTAGAAGCAACTGAAAGGCCCTCCTCCATCTCAACTGCCACGATTGTGGCAACATGGGGACAGAATAACAGATAGGCACCTCTCTATCATGCCTAAGTTCCAGCAGCTGAAAAAAGACCATCCCTTCATTCCAACTGTTACTGTCTTAGACTCGGAAGAAGAAAAGAGGCAGGCACCACAGCATTATGACTTGGTCCAGTAGCTGATGAAAGGTCCTCCTTCCATCTCAACTGCCTCTGCTAGTACCTCAGTGGAAGAGAAGAGGCAGTATCAACAGGACTTAATTCCCCCCCCCCCCCTTACTGCCATTCCCTTTCCCTTGTCTCCTGCTTTATTTGGTTTGTAAGTGTGAGAGCAGGGAACTGTCAAATTAACAATCTGTAAACTACTCTGGTAACTATAGTATTGAAGCATGGTAGAATTAAAAACCATTTATAAACAAAATGCAAGAAAGCCCCCCGGGCCCCCCGGTGGTGCAGTGGGTTAAACTGCTGAGCTGAACTTGCTGACTGAAAGGTTGGAGATTCAAATCCGGGGAGCGGGGTGAGATCCCGCAGTTAGCCCCAGCTTCAGCCAACCTAGCAGTTTGAAAACATGCAAATGTGAGTAGATCAATAGGTGCCGCTTCTGTGGGAAGGTAATGGTGCTCCATGCAGTCGTGCTGGCCACATGACCTTATAGATTTATGAAATTTTCTGCACTGTTTCAAGGACAGCAGCTATGCCCAAATAAATACAAGTAAAATCATACAAATAAAAAAAGCTTTTCATGTCAAAATTACATTACATATCAATGATATTGAAACATGGTACAATTAAAAACCATTTATAAAAAAAATACAACAAAGTCCAAAATCTGCAAAACAATGCATTTTTGGACTATTCAAAAAGCTTTTCATCCTTCATTAGCTTCTTCTCCAGATTATATTTCTTCAAATGGAGTTTGCCTTTGTCTTCCTCTGAAGCTGAGAGAGTGTGACAAAGCAGTATATGTGGGCATTAAGAAATCCACACTGTCTGAGTTTAAGGGTGAATGGAGGTACAGAATTTGATTAATGTGTGAATGGGAAGAAGAGCCAGGAAAAAGAGTTTACCTTTAGAGTCTGAGCACGGTTTATGAGATAGGGAAGGTCAAAATTCTGAATGTTATAGCCAGTGATAATGTCTGGGTCCACAGTCCGTATAAATTCTGCCCAGGCCTGGAAGAAAAGCGATATTTCTATCATAGGAATTTGCCCCATGCTGCTACCACTGGTATCTATTTACTCCAATTCAGTGAACCTGACTGGCAGAAGCTCTCAGTGCCATGAACAGCCATGAACCCAGCTCCTGATTTGTTCAAACCTTTTCCCCCAAAGATGTTATTGCATAAGTGACCTGAAATATCTTTAAGGAAAGTAAGTTTGTAAATAATCTCTTATGTTTCAACAGAGAGCAAAACATTTTGAAAAAAGGAGGGATGTCAAGAAAATATTTATGTAGTTAAGTCTGCTATCAATCTTCAGCTTCTTTAGTGTTGGAATGTCTTGATGGGGTCAGCCCAAGGAATTCTGTATTTGAGGCAAGAGAAAAAAAATGCCCCCCCTTTCAGTACACATACAGACACTAACTGGTTTGTCAGCTGAATTGTAGTTTAATAGGAGATGGAATAGCATCTTCAATGGCAGCATGTCACCTTAAAACGTAAGAGATAGGGCATGTGGCACACACAACTTTGTCTTCCAACAGAAAGGAATTGCCAGGGATTTCAAACACTGATGCCTCTTCCTTGCATCTGCCTTTTCTAGTAGTCATCTCACTTTGTCTAATAGCAGAGTTAGTACTGAAGCCCAACTGAGTCTCTAAAGGCCTGGTACGCAAGAGCTGGAAAATTGCTGCCTCTCACCCATATTCAGATATAATTCCCAAATACATATGCACCTTTTCTTTCTAAGTTCATGTTGTATCTTTTTATAGCACTGATTCCCTACCACCAGTTTTCAGCTGACTGCTGTCTTCAAATTGAACCTGTCTTCAGAGCTGTGATAAATTACTTTTATGAACTACAAATTGCCAAATCCTACAGTCAGCAGTGCAATTATTGCTGCTGCAATCCAAACAAAGTACTGTATATACTTGAGTATAAGCTGATTTTTTTCAGCCCTTATTTTAGGCTGAAAAAGCTCCCCTCAATCTATACTGGAGTCAATGTTATTTATCATTTTACTCTGTTATTGTTATTGTTATTATTATTACATTTACATTATTTTACTCTATTATTATTACATTTATTTTACTTTATTATTGCTGTTATTTTTACATTTATTATTTTACTCTACTTATTGTTATTATTCCATTTCCATTATTTTACTCTACTCTAATTGGAAGGATACATAAGCACATTTACATTGAAGACCGTTAGAATAATAGTTTAATCAGAGTTGGATAGTCTTATCTTCAATTACAGTTTTATGTAAATATTCAAAAACATTTAACCTACTGATGCCTCAATTAATGTAATTTTATTGGTATCTATTTTCATTTTGAAATTTACCAGTAGCTGCTGCATTTCCCACCCTCGCCTTATACTCAAGTGAATATGTTTTCCCAGTTTTTAGTGGTAAAATTAGGTGCCTCGGCTTAGGAGTATAAATGGTAACTCTTCCCAAACTCTGCTTATCTTGTCGCCCTGAAACTGCAGCTCATTACCTTAAGTAGTTCACCCTCTTTTTGAAAACAGAGCACCTGGGAACCAACAATTGGGGCACAGCTCTGCAAAGTGAAGACATTGCGCACAAAAGGGTCCTTCTCCCCCTGGCGTTGGACCATGTTGGCAATCTGGATTACAGGGTCCTTCTCTGGTTCAGGGAAAATGCCTGAGTAGAAACACACAAGGGGACAGTTAGCATCGGAAATGCTCAACTTTCCTTCCATCCTCTCCTGCAGCAGTTATCCCAGTAATTTCCAAACTGAGGTTCTCGGATGTTCTTGGACATCAACTTTCAGAAGGTTCCATGTTCATTGAGCAAGGATGCTGGGAGTTCTGGTTCAAAACTATTGAGGACTCAATTTTGAGAACTACGGAATTATGCGGGTAGGCATTTACTAAGATATCAAAACAGAATGAATTAACTGTAATGGTTTAAGTCCTTACAGCAGAAATATATCAAGGGTTCATCTCACAACCTCTCAGCCCACACTCTGCCCCACCTTGGGTGGGTTTTAGGTCAAGTTTTTTTTAGGTCAGTTCTAGGAACACCGAAGGTGCAATGAGTTAACTGCTGAACTGCTGACTGAAAGATCAGTGGTTTAAATCTGGGGAGCAGGGTGAGACCCTGTCTGTCAGCTCAGTCTTCCTGTGCAGGGATACACAGGATGGTAAAACATCTGGGCAACATCCTTGCAGACAGCCAATTATTTCACACCAGAAGCAACTTGCAATTTCTCAAGTGTTTCTAACAATACTGTTAAGTAATTGTTCACCTTGAAATTCGATGACTATAACCTTTCATTATTGGTTCAGTTGCTTAATTTACCCAAAGATTATGCTTGGTGCATATAGTTAACAGGACAAACTACAAATCTTGGCTTGCCAGATCTGGTGCACAAGCCACCTTCTAACAGAGCAGCCTTTCATGGGTTGGAAACCCTTCACAAGTCTCTGTTAGACTAAAGGACAGGCATTTCTATGGCTGACATTCCAAAGAGGCTATTCATGTCGTACAACTCCATTTATAGTTATAAAATGGGTGATTATTTGGGAGGAGTTTGGATAACTAGGCTCCTACACTCAGAATCTGAATCCACTTTACTATGCCACACCTCGCCCCTCAACGGCCAATATACCTTTGCGCCCAGCACATTCAATATCAAAACTGAGCACACGCAAAGGTGCAATGCGCTGCCATTCTCCCTCAGGTGGGTAGCTAATGAAATCCATCCATGCTACATCAGCCTCCAGCTGACAGAGGGACACCTGCAAGTTGGGAGGAAAAGGCAGAATAACTGAGAGGTTCTTATAATCTTTAACAAGCAATTTCCTATTTCCGCACACCCTGTAAGACACCAAATATCCTGCAGCTTTAAAAGCTCTTGGGTGCTTTTGAATCTTAAACTCACAAATGATGAATTCACATCTTTCAGACAAATTTCCCTTCCCTGGGTATCTCACAATTACTTAGACCCCTGTACCAGCAAATTTTTACCAGATACTTCCAATAAAAGCATTACAAGGGCCCCTTCCACAACTGAGAAAAAATCCATATTATCTGCTTTGGAATATATGGCAGTGTGGGCTCAAATAACCCAGATCAAAGCAGATATTGTGGGATTTTCTGTCTTGATATTCTGGGTTATATGGCTGTGTGGAAAGGCCCAAGGACTCACACACAGAAAATTTCACTTGCTCCTGACAAAGATGATGATGATGATGATGATGATAATAATAATAATAATAATAATAATAATAATAATATACTTTATTTGACTGCCCTCTCTCCTTGAAGGGACTCAGGGCGGTTTACAGACACAAAACAAAAAGGCAAACATTCAGTGCTTCAAACGAATACAAACATATCAAAATTATACAAGATAATGCACAGTATCAACAGTAACCTTACAACAAAGAATTAAGCATCGAGATGAAAATATAAAAAAAAACAATCTAATAAGATATGGTAACCTAAAACATGAGTAAAAAATTATAACATATACTCTAAAAGCAATTAAGATAAAATTACATTAAAATGGCTAACACCAGTATTCATAGTAGCCATAAAATACAAGTGGGTTAGCCAGAATTCCAATGGGTTAATGTCCTTAGTTCTCCTCCTCTCCATATGCTGCATAAGTGCATTTTCAGAAGTTTCTTAAAGGAGACCCGGGGGGGGGGGGGGGGGGGTCATAGTTGTAAATCTGACTTCAACTCCTCAAGCAAGAATGGACAACCTGTTGCCCTCCAGATAATAGTGGACACTAATGCCCAGATACTCCATTTACACTTGTCAAGTAGAATGGGAACTGTTTCATAACAGAAACTGTAGCATTACACATTTCTCACTAACAGATTGAAGGTTCTCACCGGGATTGTGGCGCAGCTGGCTGAGTGTCAGCTGCATTAAGATCACTCTGACCAAAAGGTCATGA